ATAAAATATTTAAAAAAAAAAAAAATGTAAAAAGAAAACAGTGGGATTTTAAATAATTGTTTAATTTAACCCAATACATCCAAAATTCTATCAGTTCTAATAGGTACGTTCTTTTTTCATATGTCTTTGAATTCCCTTGTACATTTTACACTTAATTACCTAGCTACATTTCAAGCGCTCCACAGCCACATATGACTAGTGGGTGCTGTGTTAGACAGCATAACTCTAGTGTTTGTAAAACACTGGGTTAAACACATACAGGTCTTGAGTCTTAGGCTATCAAGAGTCCTACTCCATGTATTTTCTTCTACGTAAGACACTGCGGCATTCAGGAAGAAACATCACCTTTATTAAAAACAGCACTGTATCACCTGCTGAAATAGCAGACAAAATCCCTACCTTGATTGCTGTTCTATGCATGTATTCCTCAACACCTATTGTCTTGATTTTAGTCAATTACAATGCATTCTTAATTTGAAGAACTATCTCTTTGCATGAGTGTTCCATTCATTTTCTTGGTATGATGAATCAGGAAAATGGGCAGTAAATCAAAGAAGCTGGAAATATTTGACCTTATACATGGTGCTCAAGATGATTTACTATATGGCTGGGCTGTCCCCAGCAGGCTTCCTCAGTGCTGGCCTGGACAACTGCAACAGACTTCTGTCTGTGCATATTTGGGTGTGTTTCTGACTTGATGAAATGTGTTTCATAACTTTTGAAGTAACTTGAAAATCCAATAACAGAAATCACAACAGGCACCAAAGCAAGCAGTTATTGGTTAAGGGAAAAATACCCGGGAAACAGGCCAGTAGAGTTGTGAAATACAAAACTTGACATAAATGCATTTTAGCTGTTAAGATAGGGTATTGAAAAGTAACTAAAAGAGAAAAATTTCCAAACTAACTTGAAAATAACATAAATCTCCAGGGTTTTTTAGTAAGATTAAAATAACACAAATGTGTCCTGAAGTTGAAGAGATGCATAGTCTCATTTGCGTTTTTCCAAAATCAGTATCAAAGTGAAATAAAGTCCTAACTATAAATGATGACGATTATGGTTTCTTTTGGGGCATTTCAAAACTCCTATCAGCAACTATTTGTAAAGCACTATGATTTTACAGACACCTTAAAATTAAATGTTCTCTATAACCAAATAGTAACAACACTTACTGGAGGCTTAGCACACGTCAGACTCACTCCTAAGTGCTTAGTTTTATTGTGAACTTATTTAATACTGACAACCATTAAGATTAATGGTCTGATTAGTTAATCCCCATTTATTATATGATAACAAGGAGGCAGAGAAAGATGAAATAATTTGCCCAAGGTTACCCAGTTAATAAGAGATTTGAATCCAGACTGGGCATCAGAGCTCTTCACCACCACTTTCTACTGCCTCTCCAAAAATAACGACAGTGCTAACATCTGCAATGTTGATTATATCGTTAATTAAATTCATTTACACAAGGCATCATGAATGGTTCTGCATACAATAAAAGATGTAAAAATGTACAAAACTGTTGGTCCACTTAAGTAGCTTCTAATCTAATGGGCGTTAACATAGTTTTGATACAAAACATAATAGGTCTTATGTTGTTTAACAAAGTATTAAAGTTCAGAGAAACTTGGAAGGGCAGAGTAGGGATAGGAAGACTTACATATTCCAAAAAAATAAAACCGAACCTGTTGCTGTCGAGTCCATTCTGACTCACAGTGACCCTAAAGGACAGAGTAGAACTGCCTCATACGGTTTCCAAGGAGCAGCTGGTGGATTCGAACGACCTTTGGGTTAGCAGCTGTAGCTCTTAGCCACTGTGCCACCAAGGCTCCTGTACATTCCAACTGGACCTTAAAAACCAGACAGGGATTTTATAGGTTTCTGGAAACAAGTTAGTATTCTTTGGAATGAACAACAGGCATGGAATTGGGAGTCATAGATTTAAAATCTTATTCCGGTCTTCCTCAAGTTAATTAATCTCTTTCAGCCTTTTTCTGATATATCTCAGTTATTGTGGGTATTCAGTGAATACACAGGCATTTTAGTTAGTACTTTTTCCAGTAAGGGATTGAACCTGATTAAATTAGATCAAGCATAAAAAAAGTTTTTTAGGAGTCTTGGTGGTACAGTGGTTAAGAGCTCGAGTGCTAACCAAAAGTTTGGCAGTTCGAATCCACCAGGCACTCCTTATAAACCCTATGGGGCAGTTCTACTGTCCTAAAGGGTCGCTATGAGTTGGAATTGACTCAACGGCAATGAGCTTGGTTTTTTGGTTTTGGGGTGAATAAATTTCAGAAACTAGAAGAGCTTTAGGGACTTTAGGAATGGGAACTGGGACTATGATTGGCTCAGTCTGGGCCACCTACCCAATGACCATGGACTATGTAACTGGTCAGGCCTGAGTCTATGTCCAAGGAGGTGAGGAATGTGACTGGTAGCCCTACCAGATCATGCAGTTCCCAAATGGGCAGACTAAAGAACAAAAACTAGTTGAATCTAAAGAAAGGTATCATGAGCAAAAGTGCTAATTAATAAAAATAATAACATTAGCCAACACAAATTAGCACTGCCCATGTTCTAGGCACTATTCTAAGTACATCGCATATAATATGTAGTATAATGCTTGGAGGAAAGCCCAGGTTATGCACAGGGCACTATCTGGATGTAGTGTAGGGCAGTAGTGACAAGTAATAGGGGTGGGGTCAGATGATAGACTTGAATGTGAAGCCAAGTTATATTTTAATTTACATGAGAGCCAATGAGAGTTGATGTATAAAAGGCAACACCCCCGCAATTCTATATTAATATAATTAACCTGGATAAGGGGAGGTAAAAATGAGAGGTGGGGAATTTAATAAACCATTTCAAGTGTGAGTGAAGCAAACACTGAAGTGCAGGAGGTGGTAGTGGGAATGGAAAGGAAAACAAAAAAATCTGACGTGGATTGAAAAAGTAGAATTGTCAGCAAATGGTGGTTTAGTAGAAATGAAGATGAGATAAACAGTTGAAAATAGTTAAGAAGTTCCCTACTAAACCTGTTGTTCTCAAGTCAATTCCAACTCATAGTGACCCTACCAGACAGAGCAGAACTGCCCCATAGGGTTTCCAAGAAGCAACTGGTAGACTCAAACTCCTGACCTTTTGGTTAGCACCTGAGCTCTTTAACCACTGTGCCACCAGGGCTCCAGTTCCCTACTAGAGAGATTAAATGAAACAAGTGTCGCCCAGTGGATTCTGACTCATGGTGACACTATGTGTTACAGAGTAAAACTGCTTCATAGGGTTTTCATGGCTATAATCTTAATGGAGAGGGAGCCCTGGTGATGCAGTGCTTAAAGTGCTCAGCTGCTAACAGAATGATCAGCAGTTCGAATACACCAGCCGATCGGTAGGAGAAAGATGTGGCAGTCTGCTTCTGTAAAGATTACAGCCTTGGAAACCCTGTAGGGCAGATCTATTTTATCCTATAGGGTCGCTATGAGTCGGAATCAATTTGACAGCAATGGGAATCTTAATGGAAGCGGATTGCCAGGCCTTCTCTTCTGTGTTTAGTAGTTGAGCACAAACAGTTTGCACCACGTAGGGACGTCATGATAGTAGCTAAAATGGCAAAGTCTAGGGTGAGAACTGGCTTCAAGGGAGAATGATGACTAATTTGGCTTTGGCCATACTAAGTTGAAGTAGCAATGAATTCTCAGAAAAGAATATCAAACAAGCAATTCCAAATGTGACACCATATCTCAACAAAACTTGGGGTTGGGAAAACTCAAGCTTCTAGAGTAGATGAAACTATAAAAAGTTAACAGTATAGCAAAAGAAGAAAATGAATATATGATAGACTGACACTCAACTCCTAATGCAACGTATGTGTTTAGCCAACAGGTTTATAAAATTTTAAAAATTTAAATTTATTAGGATTTATTAGTAACACAATTACACAGAATAAAGTTCAGGAATTCATCAATGATGATCACCAATATGTGCTTCTTTGTGGCTTTTGAAACCATATTTCTTATGATTCAAATTTATTCATAATGTAGTTGAATTTCATACACAGCTTCACAATGTAGATATTACAGGTCGTCCATCAGTAAAATTAATGAAAAACATCATTCATAAAAGGCACATAAAGAATTTAAACACATTTAAGGAATTCTGACAACTTTGAATTTCTTTACATTACAGAAAAGAAAAAGACCAATCCCCCAAATGAAACAGATACAACGGTAGTTTACGGCTACCCCCTCCCACACATATATACATACTTCAACAAATACAAAATGACAACACATAATTAAACTTCTAAACTACTTACCAGCAAAGCTTACTAAAAGACTAACTTTTTCAAAATGAGTTAAAAAAAGGGTGGGGTAGGAAATGCTAATTTTGCCAAAACAAGGTCACAGAGACACCACGAATAATCAAAAGAAAAATGATTCTAACGAAGTTCAATATTTAGCTAATATGTAACACTTATTTGAGCATACATATAATCACTGACTTTATTAAATACTATTACTTATTTTCTAAGTGTAATTGCCCATTTCATTCCTCAGAAATAATAGCACATTTTCAAAAGAAATAATATAGACCCAAGCACGTGGAGGAAATTTGTCATTCATATAAGGGAAAAAAGTAATTTCAGCATAGTGTGATAATCAAATTTGAAACTAGTTACATATGTGAATCTAAAGCTTGCATTATATCAGCAGTAGGTTATTCAAAAATCTTTCTTGCTATCTTCCAAACAAGAAACTATTGTGTATGCTAGGTACAAGGGATTTCCCAAAGGAAATACACAAATGAATGTCTCAAAATTCATTATGCTGACATTTTTTTGGCCCAAAAAAACCTCTCAACAGCCACCTAAACTTAGTTTTAAATAAAAATGTAGTTATTGAAAGAGTATAAAAATTAATCTGGGCATCACCTTTAAGGCAATGCATGGATATCATCCAAATATTAAAATTCAAAGTGAAAACAAACCAACTCAATAAAAATTAAGAGTATATAATAAGTTTAATACAGTGTATCCTCAAAAATCTGAACTTTTAGTTTTCCAAACCAAATCTAATGTAGAACTAAAGCAGCATGCACTCTTAAAATAAAAAGAAATTTAAAACATATACGGTGTTTAAATAATTGATCCAAAGGCAGGTACAGTCATCCTCTTGGAACATCTCAATAAAATACATTAAATGTAAAGAACAAATCATGTTATTAAAATAGTCTATGCAATGTTTGTACAAATAACATTTTTATGACTACAAGTATACATATAATCAAGATAAAGTCTGCAATGTTTCCTAATATTAATTACTGTACTTAAAAATTTACAGGACATGAACATAAATAAAGCTGCTTAAAACTGGCAAACATAGTAATATTCTGTCATTCAGTACAAGGTACTTTGTATCTGTTATTTCCAAAGTCATTCACACTAGAATCTTAAGTTGCCATTATTAAAACCTAAAAGTAATGTGAAAAACTAAACTTATAAATACATGTATACATACATTTGCATATTTACACTTAGGCAGAAATCATCAATACACTAGAGCCCAGCTTTAACACTGTCCTTCAGTTTCACACTGCAGGACCTTCTTTCACATTTAAGAAAGGTCCTTCTGTTAGTTACCATAAAAAAAAAAAAAAGAAAAAAAGGAACAACTTTGGTCAGGTGCCAGAGGCATTTGCTGTATACTACATTCTGTGTTGCTGCAAGACTCTAGTCTAGAGAGATCCACATGTAAGTACTCATTTGGTTTGAAAAATACATTTTACCATTGACTGCAAAACTTAGAAGAGGCCACAATCTTTCAGATTATTTTTTATGATGACATCTGTTACGGCATCAAAAACAAACTGCACATTCTTAGTATCTGTGGCACATGTGAAGTGGGTGTATATTTCCTTTGTGTCCTTTCTTTTATTGAGGTCTTCAAACTGACATTGAATATATGCAGCTGCCTCTTCATATGTGTTTGATCCTGAGATAGGAAAAGGAAAAGAAACATAACGTGAAGTTGAAGTGAGTATACTGCTAAGCAAATATGGACCTTAAAATATTAAAGTGAGTTTTATAAATGGAAAATATGCGGACTCTGTATTTGCATTTTCCCTTCCAGAACTAAAGAAATTGTTTCTTCTAAATGAAAAACATCTAATGTTAATTACCCTTTTATGACTGTAAGTTACCCTAAAATAAAAAAGAATCTCCTTTTACACGGCATTCAACATTCTCCATAATTTTTGTTCCTGCCTAATTCTCCTTATGTCAGGTCCCTTATGTTTCCCTTATCCCCTACTTCCACATCCCAACACTGAACTAACTACCCACAGCTCCTGCAGTGGCATGCTATTTCAGTTCTAGCCCAGTACCTATTCAATAAATGCTGGCTGAAAGCTAACCAGTATTTTTTATTCTCTTTCCTATAAACACATTAGCATTTCATGTTCATTCTTCTTTACTCAAAAATTGTACAACGATCCACAATGCAGCTTAGTACTACAAGGTTAAATAAATGAATGGCACACTCCTGGCCATCGTTACTCATTAAAGGCCTTCTCTGAGTACGAACACTCCAGAAATGGTTTGGCAGTATCCAAAGCTAGTCACATGCATACTCTGTGACTGAGCAATTCAATTTCTAGGTGTACACCTGATAGAACTGTGTGTGTATGTTCACCAGAAGACATATACAAGGATGCTAAGAGCAGCACTACTTCCACTTTAGGAAATGACCTAAATGCTCATCAGTTGTAGACTGGCTAATAAACGGTAGTATACTCATACAATGAGCTGCCATATAGTAATGAGAAATAAGAATGCAAGTATGACTGCTATACACAATGACATGGATGAATTTTATACACATACTATTGCACAAAAGAAGCTGGACACAAAAAGTACATAGATGCATAATTAAATTTATATAAAGTTTAAAAACACTCAAAAATAATTCATGAGGACAAAGGTCAAGATAATGTTTACCCTTGTGTGGGGGTGGTTTGATCAGCTAACTGGGAGGGAGAATGATGGGATTTAGGAGATCCTGGAAATGTTTTATTTCTCTTCTTTTTTTTTTTTTTTGCATTACGCTTTTTGTGTGTATGCGTGTGAAAAAATACACAACCAAATATATACGCCAATTCAACAATTTCTACATGTACAATTCAGTGACAATGCTTACATTCTTCAAGTGAAATGCTCTATTTCTTGACCTCAGTGGTGAATATACTGTACATACGCACTTTTAAAAAATTCACTGAACTTCACACTCATGCTGAAAACTTTTCTATATATGTGTTATACTTAAATGTTCATTTAAAAAAAATATTTACTTTAGCAGTAATAATCCGAAATCATTTGCCTCCCTTTTAAGGTCCTTCTACTCTTGTAATGGAGTCCCTGGGTGGTACAAATGGTTAACGCACTCAGCTGTGAACTGAAAGGTTGGCGGTGTGAGTCCACTCAGAAGCACCTTGGAAAAAAAGTCCTGGCAACCTAACTCCAAAAAGTCAGTCGTTGAAAATCCTATGAAGCACAGTTCCACTCTGACACACGAGGTCACTATGAGTCAGAATGAACTCCACTGCAACTGGTTAAACTGGTTTTCCTTGTAATGCTGTTCTTAAGTCCTCTATTGCACATCTGAGGCTTGCTTTATGTCATAAGCACCAACATACACACTGTCACCTTATGTTGCTGCAGTGATTCTCTCCACTGTACTTAACCAGCTGACGTATCTGCCTGCCTTCACATTGGTTCAAAACTGCACTACAGAGAAGTTTTCCTAATTTACCAAATCCAGATGGGTTCACTATCTCTTAACAATGTTTTCTTCCACCTATATACTATAGAGATCCTCTATTTCAGTTTCTGTTGTATAGCTTTACAGAATCTCAAATTCTTTTTAGTGTTAAGTCTTCTAAACTAGAATGTGAGTCTTAAAGAATAAACCCCAATTCCTACAGACCCCCAACCCCTTTTATATCGTATATAACGCCTTGTACAATGCAGTATGACAAACACCCACAGGAATGTTTTCTTTAAACTGCTATGACAGCATAAATTACGGAACTCACTATATTAGAGAGAAAAAATAAACAAAACTATGGTCTTCAAATAATTATCACTTTCAAGTTGCTAGAAACAACATATACCTTTGTAAATCAAAATTTATATTATTAACTCATAATAAGGTTTATGCTCTGAAATTCAAAAGCAATAAACAGTGTCTTGTTGGCCTGCAGAAGTTAATGCAACCTATAAATCAAAAACATGTCTGGGGAAATAGTTGACAGGGAGTGCATAAAACTCCATTCTCTGTGTACATTCTAGGCAGCTAGCTAGATTACTGTATCCCAAGAGCTACAAGATCCATGAATGAACTAATGAACACATTCCTTAATCTGATTTTAAGTCCTAAGAAAAGAATGACAGGGGTGGGAGGAAGAAGAAAATGCGATATTTTCTAACATGTGATGGAATTGTCATGAATAATGGTAAGTATAGACTATAACCAGGTCTGAAGAATGGTTGGTGATATAATTAAAAGGTAGAGAGATATTATTTGAGAAAAAAACAAAAACAAAAACCACTAACATGAGTTCAGTTTGAGTTTCAGGTGTTAGAAAAACATCCCTATGTCCAACAAGCAGCTGGAAATGCAAGCCTGAAGATCTAGAGGGAAATCAAGGTTGAGAACAGAATTTAACAGTGAGCAATAGGATTATGAAAGGATAGAGTGCTAAGAGATTACAGGACTGAAGACAGAACCTGGGGAAATGCCAACACATAGATAAAAAGAAGAGGAGGAAATAGGAACAGACAGAAAGGTAGAAGATAAACCAAGCGAGCAGTATGGAGACTACAAAGTATTTATAGGAAGCAACAGCCATCAGAAATGAAAGTTAAGGTTGAAACAAGAGGCATCTGACCAATACTCAGGGCATACAATGGAGATTTTAAATTATAATCTTAACAGTGGAGATGTGAAAGACTTATGTACCCACCTTTTTGTGCAAAGATTCTGAGATCAGAGATTCTGACAACGTAAGTAAAAATTCCTGATCACACTATATACCTAGCAGGTTAAGAGCTAACAAGTATATTCTTAGTTGCTCTGAAATCTCTGTAGATGTATATTTACAGATTAATTTGGGGACTCTAGTAATATTAATTAGTACAAAATGGCTACTTCATAATAGGAAAGAATAAAAATAATCTAAGAGATAGCCTCAAATAAGCACTAAACTGAGACACTTCGTCCTTGGATAACTTCAATCTTGGAAGACAACTACAGTTATAATAGAACTATAAGCAAATTAGGAATTTTATTCCTAATAAGCATTAAAAATGTTTCTGAATAATAAGATATTATGACTTTCAAAAAGAACAAAAATTTTAAAATAAGCAACTATATGAAATTATTTTCAATTGAAGTATAACTTTGTAATTTACAAAAAGTGCTACAATAATAAGTGTTGTGATTATAAGCTCCCCCTCTTTGGCTCCAGTGAGAATTTAATTAAAGGCAGCTTAGTTGTTAATGGCCTGAGCATCAAAGTCCAAAAGGCCTGGATCTAGATTTAGGCTCTGTCACTTCAGTAGGCCTCAATGTTCTCATCTATAAGAGTGGAGATATAACAGCACTTATATCGGGGGTTGTTGTACAATTTACTCAATAGAGGAACTGACTACAATTTTGTTTAAAATGAAATTCTTGAGACTTTTTTTTTTAATAAATAGGAACCATGGTGTGAAGAAAAGCAACGTGTATCTATCCATTAGCTAAACTTAAAAAAAACCTTTATAATATTTAGAGATCATATAAACCAGTGGCAATCAAACTTTTTTTAGGCACAAAGTTCTCTTTGTTGAAATCAAATCATATTCAGTGCCCAATATATAAAACAGATGAAAGCTGAGTTACTCTGCTTTAATGAGAGAACAAACTGTAAAGGGGGAAGGGTTTGAAACAGAAGTCGTCTGTTTCCATACCCACCTTCTGCAGCAGCCCAGAAGGTACTCCAAGGAACTAAACTAAAACCAGTGTTTTACAGATGGGGTACTGAGACCTAGGTAAATTAACAGCTGGTTAAGATCAAAGAGCTAATTACGGAAAAGGCAGGACTGTACTTCAGCTCTCCTTTTCCACAATAGTATCACTAGCAGTCTCATTACCAAAGTATGAATTTCTTATGAAACCTTCCCTGACTCTCCTGAGGAGTTAGCTGCTTCACTACTTCCTTCTTCATTTTTGTCCTTACAGTAGTGTTCATGTTCCTTTTAAGGAGCATGTTGCATTGCTATTGCTTATTTATTTATCTGTTTTTTAGAAAGTCTGTCTCTTAGATTAGGCAGTGAATAGACGCCATGTCTCATTTATTTTGCATTACACAATTCCTGACATGACATGTGTTAACTGAATGAACAAACTAATATTTTAAATATACAAAGACTTGGAGTCATCGCTGAAAATTATCTAACACCTTTTTCAAAAAATGAGTATTTTTTTAAACAATTTCATTCACAACTCTAGGAACTATTTGTAAAAACCTTTTATAATTTGCTTGAATGCAGTTTGATAAATAATTTCTCTTAAAGGTAAGAATTACTAAGGCAAGATATTGAAATCAAAGAATAAAATCTTGACTTAAGGGCATTTTCATTTAGAAATATATGATTTTACAAATTTTCTACAGGATGTAAAATACCTGCATATTCTGGATAGCATATAGTAAGAGGACTCTTTTTGATTTTTTCTTCAAAGAGGTCCTTCTTGTTTAGAAAAAGTATAATGGACGTATCTGTAAACCATTTGTTGTTACATATGCTGTCAAACAACTTCATGCTTTCATGCATTCGATTCTGTAACAGAAAAGAATACAACCAGTTTGTCATTAATAACAAGGATTGTGAGAAATACTACGTTCAAAAAGTCACAAGTGTCCTAATGAAATGGAGTTTAGTAAGTTGAAAAATAAGTAACATACCACAAAAATAAATTTCTGCCATTTCAAACTAAGCATATTTTGCTTTTAGTGGAGATGAGTGTCTAATCATCACTCATCCCTTTTAGCACTCAACCAGTACTTGCTGGGTGTCTACAATGCTTCATGTGCAGTGCCTAGGACATCCTGCTTCAGGGACTTACAATCTAGGATGACCGGTGTGAACATCTGAAAAGTTGTATGATTATTATGGAGTTTATCTAAGTTTCAATTAAAATATAAGTAGAGAATATTAAAAGAGTAATAGAACAAGTTGGACTCCAATTAGCCCCAACACCCTCAACATAATGGTATGTTAGGAAAGGCGATTTCCAATTCCTGTTTCCTGCTCTTCAAGTATCTGTGGTTTCTGAGAGAGCACTGCTATATTTTACAGTGACAAAATGAGGGAAATGAATGATGGTGTTGACCTGAATTTCCTGCCGTATAGCTGCATATTACTGATTTAAAAAAATATTAAACTGACACTTCTCCTTTTTTCCAATTTGTATTACAATTAATTTAAAATGACAAAGTTTTAAATTACTACTTAAAAATATTTCCTTCTGATTTATGGTACATTTAAACACATCTGAAAATGACATGGCAGTAGCAAAGCATAACATATATCAGAGATGACTGAGTTGACAGAGATAACAAGAAAAGTGAGCCCTGGACAACTATGGAAATTTCTTTTCATTCAATATGTAAATACCAGTTATAGGAAAGGCAAAATTGTGCATATAGGGCTGGGGTGAGACCAGTTCTCAAGCTTTTCCTTTTTCTCAGGATCTGTCTGTGCTTCTTCAGTCTATTTCCCTTTTAGTATCCAAACAGAAAAGTTAGAGGCAAGAGCCTGAACTTTCAAATAATGCAGGCCTTAACAGGAATTTCTCAAGAATTTTTCTCAGAAAAATTCTTCTCAAAAAAGCAATGTCTCCATTTCTTTTTATTTCATGCTCAATCCTTAAAAGTGGTTCAACTTGCCATTTCTTCGTCTTCAGCTAGAACCAGGTCATAGTCACTAAGTGCTACACAGAAGATAATCGCAGTAACTCCTTCAAAGCAATGAATCCACTTCTTCCGCTCAGATCTCTGTCCTCCCACATCAAACATTCTGTAAGAGGAAAAATAATGAGTTGACATCACATTAAATGTGTTCAAAAGCTCTAAGGAGTTCTGTAATGTCAACAAAATAGCTCCAAAGAGCTGGGTAGGATGGGAAGAAAGGAGAAGAGGGAGAAAAACAACGTCACAAATTGGTTTCAAAATGAGGGGAAAAAAAAAGCCTTTTTTTTTTTTTAATTTTTGTTGAGAGGGACTAGAACATAAAAACAAGTACAAACGAATGGACTGCAAACTATGTGTAAACACTGAGAAGTCACATGAAGCAACTAGGGAATGCAGAGATAATACAGTGTATCCAATTTGCCAAAGTCAAGGAACATTCGTGGCAGAGGACACGGTCCCTCTTTCCATTACAAAATGTTATTTTGTCTCAGAGGCAACGAGCGGGATTTTGAAATAAGGGAGAAGCCCCTTCAGGTAAGGAAATGCAGGGCAAGCAAGTCAAATTCAGATAGAGGCCAAAAAGGACTGCCTAAATTAAAAACTAAAGCTATGTATGGTATAGAGAAAAAGAGAGTTGAAATATGAAATGGGTGGCTCTATTGAAAGCCCTGAAATTTAGAGCGAAAAACTCTTATTTTTAGACAATTTACGATATGGGACCATTGTAGCTTAATGAACAGGGTAGTAACACAATCAAGATAGTACGAAGAGAGCTTATAAAGTTAAGCAAAAGTTGAAATTTGTTTAGATTACATTATATAACCTAGAAATAACCAGCTATATAACTGAAACACTAGGCAAACTGGTACATTTTTGAAGGCTCCATTTAACTAGACAGTGCACTAATTAAAATAGTCCCTGTTTAATTCTTAGGCAAAAAGAATTTTCCCTACAGAACAGTTTGGCCTATAGACCAAATCTGAGTACACCAACTAGTATTGTTACTTTTTGGCTTGGCTACTAAATTGTTCATTAAGTTTTAAGTATGCTATATAACAAAATGATTCTACCACACAATAAATAAAAATGGGTAAGATTCAAAAAAGGACAGCTGGTAAAATAAAGATCAAACAAGGACACAAGAAAAAAGTAAATTAAAATGATTATTCATTTGTTCTATAGTTTATAACCACAATTTGAAAATAACTTTAACTAAAAGATAATATATTTTAGATAACTTTTCTGCTCAAATGTCACACATTACCCAAACCACTTAATATAAAATAACAACCCATCCCCCATTTTCTCTGTCCTGCTTTTTCTCCATAGCACTTATTATCAACTGATATATTAAATATTTGTTTATTTCATCTCCTTTCTCCCACTCCATCCCCACTCCAAGAATGTAAAGACAAGGACTTTGTCTCTTTTGTTCACTTTATGAGTCCCTGGGTAGGGCAGATGGTTCAGTGCTTGACTACTAACAGAACCTATGCAGAGGTACCTTGGGAGAAGAATCTGGTGATCTGCTCCCAAAAGGACCCAGCCTTCAAAACCCTGTGAGACACAGTTGTACTCTCTACACATGCGATCACCATGAGCTGAAACTGACTCAATGGCAACTGGTTTTGTTTTGTTTTTGTTTACTTTATATCCCCAACACTAGACACACAGTAAGTACTTCATAAATCATTAATGACTGAATGAATAAAACATGCCTACAGAATATTTCAATGTACTTTCAAGCAAAACAGATTACCTTTGCTATGCTGAAAACCACTATCTACCAGTTATATTATTAAATTTAAGAGAACTTTAGCTTAATAATCAATGTAATTCAACTATGGAGGAAATGTCTTAAATTTATTTAATTTATGAACTAAAATGTATGAGGGTTATTCATATACCACTCATAAACAAAGAACCTCGTCTAACCCAGTGTTCTCAAACTTTAGTGTGCATCAGAAACCATCAGGTGGGTGATGCTGATGTAGCTGGTCTAATCCATAAACTAAGGAGCAAAATGAGAATGGGTCTTACAATGATTATACTTAGAATTTAGAGAGACCTAGATGAAGAAAATAACTAGAACACTAATTTTACTATTGCTTTTATCTTCCCTGAAAAGCTAAATAAAAAAGCACACAGCATTAGTCATTGTTTCACACACACGTTAGAAATATCTTATTTTACATATACTCTTTAAATCCAGAACCTATATTAAAAAAAAAAAAAAGAGAAACCAAAAAAAAAAAAAAATAGCATGCTCTCCTTCATATCAAATGATAGCACTCTTGGCTAGCAGCAAATATGGAGTGCATCTGAATTTCCTTAGGATTATTTTGGTGTGGGAAGGAAGATACTAGAGATCCTATGATGTGCTGATTTATCCTTAGACTGTCATCTATCTAACACCATTTGTGACCAATACTGACTGGTACAAAGTTAACTGACCATATATGGGAACCAAAAACTATAAAATTGGGATTGTATCCCAACATATTATACATGTATACTCCTTTAGAAAATATACATCTCTCACAATATGATGATTTTTTAATTATACATGGAAAGAAGGATTGCATTAACTCTATAATCAGCCAAATATCACCAACAGTAAAATAAAACTGTTGGTTCTTATGTTAAAGCAAAAAAATGCCTAGTCACAGAGACAACAATATCCACTCTTAAATTATAACTGTCCTATTGCCTCAGTTTGAATTTGTTAGTACCAATCATACAAAAAAAGTAAGCAAAACTTACATCAGCAGTTAAAAATCATACACAGAATTAACACACAAAACATACAGACAGAACTGCAGAATACTGAACACACTTGGCTTCCCAGTAGAATTATTCTAAGTATATTTATGCCCTCATTCATCAGAGGCTCATTTAATATATAAACAGAACAAAGCTGGAACCATAAATTAAAATAATAGTAATTTAACAGAATTCAAATTCCAAATAAGACAAAGTTTATCTGAAGTTCATACAAACCTACGTTTATCTTTAAGTCAGCAAGAGAAAACAGTAACTAAATACATCATATGAAATTCTACCTCACTCAAGGAGAACAAAGGGAACAATACAAATGGACTTCCTGGAAGAATCCTGGTGAGAGACAATTTTACTGACGTACTGGGGTACTTGCTTGATGCTGAAATGATAACTTTGAGAAATCTAGGCTGGAAGTGAAAAGTATGGTCTAGAAGAAAATGTTTAAGAGTGAACTTAGCCAAGATTAAAAGTGAATTTTACATAGATTGCCTTAAGTATCACATAATTGACTTAACATTTACGATCGCCATTTCCCGCCATTTATAGAGCTCTCATCTTTATGAAGTTTCCTTTATAGTCAATATCTCATTATAGCTTTAAAACTCTGGCAAAGGGCAAAACTGTAATACTCACTGTGTTAACAATCTTAACCAGGTTTGCCAACTTACTTCAACAGTGGAACCTATGTCTCAAATCCCTACCTCCTAACCTCAATTTGATGCATTTCTCCTCAGAATACACTGGCTAAAATAAGACATTATTTGAACATAATGATAATTTAAGTTTGCTTTAGGACAAGGTCTTTAATAAAGGTAAACAAACAAGTAAAAACTCAGAATCTAAGGTGCACTGGGTAAAACAAAACAAAACAAACCAAAAACTAAGAATGTTAAAGCCTGACTCTAACACTGAACTTTTTAATAATTATAATCATTCCACAGTTTTATGATATGACAATAATCCCCAGATCAGGCACCTCCTGTTACTTAAAATCACGGTCCTGAGTTTGGTCATTTGGTATTTTAGAAGGAGAAAGCACATTAAAAGCTGAATGATTTTAATAAGAGATAATCATAGCAGTAAAATACAACTGCTTGAAAAAGAAATGAACACAGAAAAAAAATCTAAAGCAGGTACAAAGTTGTACCATGTATTAAAGCACAAAGTTACATGGTCAAATAAACTAATTATGACCCGTATCTCCACTTAAAACAGCAGGAAAATGTTCTTATTTATTTATTTGCAGGTGTTTGGGGAGGGAGAAGTGGCCATGAAAATATCTGAAACTAAATTTTAGCTCTCTGGAAAATTTAAGTACATGAATCACTTGAATGTGCAAAAAATTAGTCACAAGTGATTGTAACAAATGTATTATACTTAAAATACCTAAGGAAGGAATCATAGGTATATTGTTGTTGTTAGGTGCTGTCGAGTCGGTTCCAACTCATAGTGACTCTATGTACCAACAGAACCAAACGCTGCCGGTCCTGCACCATCCTCACGATTGTTGTTATGTCTGAGCCCATTGTTACAGCCACTGTGTCAATCCATCTCATCGTAGGTCTTCCTCTTTTTCACTGACTCTCTACTTTTCCAAGCATGATGTCTTTCTCCAGGGACTGGTCCCTCCTGATAACTGCCCAAAGTAAGGGCAGGATTAGTCAGTTATGTTAATGAGCACGACTCAATCTACAAGATTAGGTGTGTTTTAAGCCAATCTCTTTTGAGATATAAAAGAGAAGTGAGTGGAGAGACAAGGGGACCTCATACCACCAAGAAACAAGAGCCAGGAGAATAGTGCATCCTTTGGACCTGGGATCCCTGCACTGAGAAGCTACTTGACTAGGGAAGATTAATGACAAGGACTTTCTGCCAGAGCCAACAGATAAAGCCTTCCCCTGGAGCTGGCACCCTGAATTCAGACTTCTAGCCTCCCAGACTGTGAAAGAATAAATTTCTGTTTGTTAAAGTCATCTACTTGTGATATTTCTGTTATAGCGGCACTAGATGAGTAAGATAGCGTTCTTCCCTCGAGCTGCCCTTTGAAACCTGTTCAGCTCTTTTCCGTCATCATTTCTTCTGCTGGCTTCAGCTACTCTATGTTCAAGAGCAAGTTTCAGAGTCTCTTCTGATATCCATTTTGGTCTTTTCTTTCTCTCCTGTCTTTTTAATGACCTTTTGGTTTCTTCACTGATCATGTCCTTTATGTTATCCCACAACTCGTCTGGTCTTCGGTCATTACTGTTCAATGCGTCAAATCTATTCTTGAGCTGGTCTCTTTAAGTTCAGGTGGGATACACTCAAGATCTTGTGGACTTGTTCTAATTTTCTTCAGCTTCATCTTGAACTTGCATATGAGCGATTGATGGTCTGTTCCACAGTTAGCCCCTGGCATTGTTCTGACTGATGATATTGAGCTTCTCCATTCTCTCTTTCCGCAAATGTAGTCAATTTGCTTTCTGTGTATTCCATCTGGTGAGGTTCATACATGTAGTAGCCATTTATGCTACTGAAGAAAGGTTTTGGCAATGAATAAGTCATCAGTCTTGCAAAATTGTATCATTCGATCTTCGGTATCGTTTCTATCACCAAGGCCATATTTTCTAACTACTGATGGTTCTTATCAGAGGTACAGCTGCATATATTTAAACATGTTTCTCACAACTTGGAATAGGAAGCTTCTCTGTGAGGTGACTTCATGATTACTTGTTTTTTATGTTCCATTAAGAATCTTTTTTTAAAGAGGCTGTCAGAAATTGTTTTTTTATCATTACAGTTTGAAAGCATTAGCATTCACTGAGGAAGAGTCTAATCCATAGTGCGTATTAATGCCTCATGTAAAATGATTATCTTAAATCAGAACAGTTTTATTCAAAGTAACAGAGGAAAGATAAAGTAATTCCAATAGCAATATGGGATACTCTATTTGCAGACCAAATACAGATAAAATTTTGATAAACTTAGAATGGATTAACAGTTTGCTGTTGTGTGACTATTTTCATAAACACACACACATACACATATATTTTATTATTTTATTCTATCTTTTTGGTGTTTGTGGGGATGGAGTTGTAGGTTAAAAGCTCAAGGTCTTTTCACAGTCTTGTGAAATTTGAAATTCTATAATCAAAAACTTCAACTAGATATAATCTGAAAAAATAGAGAAAACAAATGATTTATCTAATTCCTTATAGTATTAAAAAATTACAACAGATAAACATGGAATATAAAAATAAGGAAAGTTTTTACAAAATATAAAACATCATAAATGTCTTTTCTAATCCAATTTTCTGCAGTGACAACTGGAGTTTTGTCAGTCTGAGTCAACGTTATAAATCTCTGCAAGGAGAAGGTGGTTTATCTGAATCACTCACAAGCTTGTAGATGTAATCTTTCTAAAAATCAACCTCAACCTTGTTGGGTTAAAAAAAAAAATCTCCAAGGATATTAGTAAATATGTATTTGGTGTAGGGAATAATGTGAATTTTAATACAGTCTGAATGATGTGACCCTATCATGGTTATATAAATTAGGCACTGCCCCTCGGTGGGCTTTTTGTTTTGTGTCCTTTCTGCTGGGCAGACAACTGGCACCTAGGAAATGCTACATTTCAAGTGAATTTGAATTAAGGGAAGCTAGCAGTTTTTAAAAAGCAACTTCTACCAGCCCTTTTATTTAGCTTCAGTATTCTTAAACAAATAATAGTGTTGAAGAAAAAAAAGGAAGTATCTGTAAAAAAAAATTTTTTTAATCAGTATTTTTTAAGATCAAGTAACACTACAGTGGTCTGGGATTTCTATGAAAACAAAGAAGTTTTGTTTCAGTAGAATACCTCCTGATGTTAAATTACCCTACTCATGTATATATCCTTACATGGGGTATATACCCTCTTTTTCCATAATTTCACTATTATTATTTTAACCAGAATAAGGGAAGAGAGATGATGAAGAACAATGTATGCTTAGTGGAATTAGTAAATGGCTCTTTTTGTGAAGAAAATCATGGTGCCTGAAATCAGGTAGCAGAACAAAATCATGGTGCCTGAAATCAGGTAGCAGAAGACTTGCTAAGGGAAAACAGATTGAATAAACTAACTGACCAGGAGGGCTATATAAATACATTTTGCATTTAAGTCTAGCAATTTTTCTCATATCTTGAAAATTTTTAATTATTGAAAAAAGGAAGGCAGTTCTACATGCATTTAACTGAGCTTCCCAGAGCCTGGTTCATTATAAAATGAGGGAACTGGACAAAATGAACTCTAAGGTGCCTCCCATTTGTAAAGGCTACGATTCATTATTTTTGCTCAGACTCCAGTAGGTCAATATTCCATACACTTTAAGTTAAACAAACATTTCTCGTCATGAAATAGTGCAAACATCAGCTTACTATGAATAAACATAGGACATTAAAAAGGTGTCCCTCTTTTTAATATGTCCATGAATAAGAATATACTCTATCAGTAAAACTGTATCTCTTTTTACCTAAAAACAAATGACAACAGTTTTCCAAAAATACATTAGAGTAGTATTTTCTGTTTAGAAATAAAAGCCAAAAACTTTTTTTTTTAAATCACCATGAAAAATACAAGAAAAAGGAACTTGCCTGTCTATTTTTTCTTAAATAAAAATTTAAGTATTCTACTTAAGAATGCTTCTTTTTGCCCTCTAAAATAATTTAAGCTTTCATTATTATACCTCTGTTTCTAAAGCAATGTGTTTTCTACCTAAATGTATAAATCATATATTTTGAAGCTACTCACTTAAAATGAAGATCTTTGAAAGTAAAATGGGTTTCAACAATCCCTGTTGTTTTCACTCTAGTTCGGAGAACATCTTGCTGAGTTGGGATATAATTTGGTTGTGCTATTCTGTCCAAGTCATTCAAATAGCTGCAAAAATAAACAGCAACAACAAAAGCATGCTAATAGTTAATATGGCCAATAAAGATCACCTAAAACCAGTAAAATACATTTTGATGCCTGCAATATTCTGAATTACTGAAGTTTTAAAATTTCTGTAAAATGATGCAATACAACCAATTTAATCTTACATCTTATAATACTCCCAGACACAAAACTCTATTAGTATTTTTTGTTTTCTGCTTTGTTTCTTAGAGATAGTGAATAGTAATTTTCCTTTTATAATAATTAAAAAAAAAAAAAATCCAAACTAATCGCACACCATTTTCTGTATTTAAAAGTGTCAAGAATTTGGTTCTTAAAATTTATTATTATACTGTGCTCTTTTGATGTAGCTCTGTGTTTATGCTCCAAAAATTCCTCTTTTGAGTGAGGAACAAAAAGTGTTTTAATTTTTGAGCATGTAGTGAGAACCTCAGGCCAAAGGCTGAATTAGATGGTGTTTCTTTTCAACTAGACTTATGTTAAATACAGGGAAACACTACACATGCTCAGTTACTCTGTATTTTACTTCTCACTGAATTTAGTCATTTATTCAACACTCTCTGCCAATGATGCCAAATACTGTGTAATATAAAAAATATAGTGGTATCATACCATGCAATATTAGAGAGTAAGTTATTTTGTGTCAAAATGTAGGATAGAGTCAATAGTTTCACAGCAAGGCCAAGTATGGAGAGATTAGTGTGGGTCTGAGTGGTTAAAGAAGGATGTGTGGATAGTCAGGGGTGTAAATAACAACCTAAAGTATGGGATGAAGACAGAAAAGGGGCTAACATTCCAATCAAAAGAAGCAGTAAAATAGTACAGAGGCAGGGAGAGCTGAGTCTTGTTTCTCAGAGAATAAGGCAACCAACTGGCTATGTACAACCTTAACTGAGAAGTCTGGAATTAATCCTAAGGTCAGTTGGATATGAGGAGCTCACTGCAGTGTTTTGTAATACTAGAGTAGCATGGTGAATGATAATTTAGAAAATAAATCTAGGTACAGAGAGACACAAAGTACTGCAACTTTAAATTAGTGTTATCCTCTGAAACTGTCTTAGCCATATCAGCATTTAGAAGAGAGTCCTGCAAACAAAAGGAGCTTAATAAATATTTCATTTGTTGGGATTGGAGTTGAAAAACTACCCAAACATTGAATTACTTAACAACAAACACTGTACACAGTGAATTAGCAGCAAGGAACATTTTAAACAGTTACGTGGTGTCAAAATAGAATACATAGCTGATAATCTGTGCTACTTTTTATTGTATTTACTACTGCATTTAAAGCATCTGTTTTTGAACTTCTTGCACTCGCAATAGTAGACCAGAACTTTATCTGCTTTTAATTTCACATATATAACTTTATACTTCACTGTAAGAAAATGTGATTTAATAAACAAACAAAAAATAGGACATGGCAAGCTTTTATTACTTGTCTCTTTAAAATAGCAAGCTACTCTTGTTTAAAATGTGTTAATTACTCATAGATACACTTTTTTGCTTAAAACTTGTATAGTTCTAAATTGTTGTTGCTGGGTGCCGTTAAGTCGACTCCAACTCATACAACCCAATATGACAGAGTAGAACTGCCCCATAGGGGTTTCCCAGGCTGTAATCTTTATGGCAGCAGATCACCAGGTTTTTTCTCCCATGCAGCCTCTGCTGAGTCTGAACTTCCAATCATTTGGTTAGAAGCTGAGTGCTTAATCATTGCGCCACCAGGGCTCCCTAGAGGAGCACTAATACCACTTAATTACTGAAACAGCTTCCTTTGCTGGGTTTTGCGCAGAGCAATCTCACTAAAATAAAGATTCTCATTTAGATTTTTATGCAGGTGTTAGTCATGCCAAAGCAAATTATTATGGTCTGTGAGTTATGCTCTTGTAGTAAATGAATTTTCTAATTTATCTTCTAGCCTCTGTGAAGTTTGGTTTATTAATTCATTTATTAAACAAGCACATATTGCGTGACTACCATGTGTCAAACACTGGGGTTACAACGTTGAGAAAAAAATAGACCTTAATGAATTTCTAGAGTAGTGGCAGAGTCAGAAAATAAAAAGAAATAAAACAACATCAAAATACATATAAATCTGTGACTGTTCTAAAGGAAAACTACATTGTGCAATGAGTACACAAAATAGGGAGGCAGGAACCATCTCAGAGGGTCAAGGAATATATCCTTGCAGAAGTGATGACACCAGTTGGAGAGGCTACATATTCAATATTATGTATAAATTACATACACATACACAGCCACGTATACAATAATACATATGGTTTACCTACTTACAAAATGTTAAAATACAGATTAAGAACTATAGTATTATAAAAAGACTGCTGTGGGTCATATAATGATGTGTATGATTCAATACAGTAATCATTCACATAAGACATACATAGTGTGTACTTGGATGTGCAAACAAATTAGGTGTTAAGAGATAATCAGGTCCTCAGGAGCCATTTGTTTACTTTTGCATGTGGCACAGTGTGTGCATTTACCTAGACTTTCCAACATCTGTCATCTTCTACCTAATATTCACTTGGGTCCCTAAGAGGCAATAGCTGTCAAGAAAAAGGAATTATCTTACATAGTAAAACAAGTGCATAGTACATGTTTTAAAAGACCAATTACTGCTACATATATCATATTTGACTTTTTCGAGTATGTGTGCTAGATTATGGTAGCAAATACCTGATTTTTTAAATTCTATGTAAATCACCAAACAGAAAAGGTTTTATCACAACTTGCTTTACAAATTTGCTGGGGCTACCACCTAGAAAACCAAGGCAGACTTTTCCTCCAGAAACTGCCGAGGTATCTTTATATAGTGTCTGATGTAATGCGAAAACTGAAATAGACACTTGGCAAGTGTACACCATTTTACTTAGTGGACAAAAAACCTCGGAATCACCACGTACCCCTTCAGAAAAACTCTCTATTCAAGGTGTCTGTCAAAGGGCTACTAACTTGTCTCAGGCATCATTATTAGCAGAGTAAAAGGACTGTCAAGTCAGTTCCACTCCCATTTGTCTGATCCCAGGCAAAATACCTATACACTCAAATTCAGAGTGAACTTTAGGGAGCTCCAATTACTTTCTTGGAAATATACTGGAAAGAGTCCCATTCTGCATGTTTCAATTAGAATTACATAACCCTGAGTCCCCTGAGACACTTCTGAACACAAAGAAAATAAAGCATTGCTATCTACAAACACACACACAAAAAAAGACAGAGGCTTTTAAATACTGTCATGTTGAATATCCTGAGGTGTACAAGAATGTGTCAGCCAAGTCTGCAATAAAGCTGACTCGGAGGTAGATCTGACTTGCAAATAATTATTCATGATAGTTTAGTTCTGAAGTTACGATTACTTACTATGCTGCAGAATCATTAAGTTGGTACTCTCGGGATCTGTTGAAACAGGCTTGTACACCACTATCTTTCCACAATCTCTTTATAACTCCAGCAAGTTCTGCAGTCATAAAACCCTCTTCAGCAGCACCAGCAAGCACAAAGAGTTGGCGGGCATCATCCTGAACAAACACCGTTAAAACAAAATACAAAAGAGGACATTATAAAACAACAAATACAATAAAGAATTTCCTTTATGTTTTTTTTCTTCTGACTGAAATGCCATCAATTTTTCTTTCTCTAAAGCACCACTTTAAAAACTGGTTTAAGCAAAAAAGCATAATTTTAAGTCATATGTCTATGTTTTGTGGTATTAGTAGTATCTAGCAAGCACTAGGAAGCTGTGGAGGGTGATTACACTTCCAGCTCATGAAGGGGATCTATTAACCAACTCTCTGTCAATACCATGTTGTGCATTGAAGATGATCATTTTTGAGAAAACAAAAGAAGAGCCTATGTCTTGCTCCTCCCTCCCAAAAAGTTTATTTTAAAATATAACCTAATTAAATACACTTAGAAATGTCAAATAAGTTCAGAGAAGGAAAAAATTAATAAGGTGCAAGGAAGAACGGAGTCACAGAACAGTCAGAGATTTTCTTGGAGACCTTAAAGTATGCATAAAAGAACACCAACCAGCCACGGGTTGTTGTTGGGTGCCGTCGAGTCAATTCTGACTCACACTGACACCATATGACTGAGTAGCTTACAACCTAGAAAACTCTATGATATACTACAGTACAATTTATATCAATTCTTTTTCCTTAATCTAAAGGTAGTTCCCTTATGGGTTAGACTAAGAGCTCAAAAACAGTTTGTTGAATGAATAAATGATACATCAATAAATTAAAGATTGAATGAATAGTAGATAAGGCAGAAAACGTTCTGGATATGATAAAATATTGTTTCAGAAAAGAAAATTTAGAAGACTGTTGTCAATTATTATAAAAAATAATCCTGACATCTAATTGAAATTTTTCTTCACCATGCTAAGCTTTTTAATATCTTTGTTTAAAGGGAAAAGGCTTATAATACATTAATGTAGCCCAGGAACTTATGAAGAAATTTAAAAAATATACCAAGTTTATTTCACAGACTTTCCTTTTGCTGCATTCATTCCTTTTTCTTCCTAATAAGCATTAATTGAGCCTCTATGTTTAAAAAAAAATTACATATATATGTGTGTATCAGTGTGTGTATGACACTAAGAAGACAGGAAGAAAAAGCTATAGTCTCTAGTCACAAAATCTTCATAGTATTATTAATACACATGCAATATACATATCAATACACATGCTGACTATATAAAAATATTAACGGAAAAACTATAAAGAGGAGGAAGAGGTGTAGTAGTAGTAGTAATGCACTCATTGTGTGCAAAAAAAATACAATAAAAATTAAGCTAGGGATGCAGTTATTGAAAAACGGGAACAATGAAATTATAGACCATATACAGATAACCAAATCTTAAATAAAACAATTCAGCAGGCAAAAAAGCAAGGGTGGGGAGAGTAGGGGACAAAGAAAGTACAGTATGGACTGGAGCACAGAGGGCTGCTTCTAGCCAAATAGAAAACAAGTGATTGGGCCAAATAAGGAAACACAAGCGTAGTACCTGGGTTTCCACTAACTTTATGGCAATATTTATATCCTGGTAATCTCCCAGGATCCATTTTCCTTACTGGTAAAATAAAAGAGTAGAACTACTTTTTTTCAAAAAGTTCCCTTTAGCCCTACAATTCTGATACATTTCTAAAAATCCATACTTTTCTATTCCAATAAAAGCAAACTTTTATACTTATCTTCATTCTATAAAATTAGATTACTTTTTAATCTGGGCATGAATACAAATAATTAGATCACTTTAGCATTCCAAATTATAAAAACAGATTTTGAAGAGTGCCAGTGTAGGCAGTTTACCAAACTCAGTACTTACTATTCCAAGTTGTTATGGTGACGCAGGGGGACCCAATATAACATGTTATACAGAAAATACTGCAAAAATTATTGAGTTGTCCAAATCATCTGATGAACAAGGATAGTAGTATAGCTATAAAGGAAAAATTACACAATCCTGTATATTCTTATTTCACTCACTTCTAAAGCTTCTGACTCACTCCACTCATTTCATTTTTTTTTTTTCTCCTTTTATAAATGGGTCTGAGATGATGAATCTATGTTATATGGTATGGAATTATTACGCAACTCTCCCCTCCTCCCTGCCCCACTCATCAAGTCTGCTCCAACGAATTTAATAACTTACCGCCCGAGCTGAGTCACCGAAGTCTATCTTCAACCTCCCCATGGCCCTAATGATAGCAATAATTGACTGGATGGTGTTACTGTAGACCACTGCTTTGTATTGTTTGCATTCCTCTTCTGAATAACCAGCTTCATGGATAATTCTAATGAGAGAAAAGGAAAAAAAAAGAACATTACTTCCTTTGATGGAAGGGTGCATTTCAATATGAAAACCAAATTTAATGTTTTAAATTTACTTACTTCATTTGCTTTACAATTGTACTTTTCCCTGATTCACCGGCACCTAAAAAAAAATAAGGGATTTTTAACAACTTCACTTAGGTATATCCAACTCCCCTTCCAGCACACACACACTCACTCCTCACACTCTCTCTCTCATAGCTGAACTTTGTTTTATATAAAAATGAACTTTATTCGTTTCAAACACATAGAAAATTCTCAAAAAATTAGTCTCATAATGAACTTTATTGGTTTCAAACACAGAAAATTCTCAAAAAATTAGTCTCGTTTGTCTGTTTAAAAATTACTTCACAATACATAAAGTCAATAAGCTCAACTGAAAGCAAATGCTTTCATTGTTGTGTGTATTCCCTAAAGCATTACAAAAATTCAATCTCCCATAACTTAAAATGAACAATAATAAATTAATTTTATTTAAGTTTTTATTCCCTATTGGAAGAAGTTTTAACTGCTCTGCCAATTATTATAATTTCAATCTTTGGATTTTGTGAAGTAGAAGGCAGTGATGCCAAGAAGCCACATTTTAAAATATTATATATTAAAATAGCCATATCTCATGCAATATTCATTCAACAACAATTTACTTAGCACCTAATATGTAGTCAACACTATCTGTCAGTGCTGCACGTAGATGGCGTGCTGGATAGAAATGTCTCTTCCTGAGTTTTTTCATCTTTACTGTCACTCAAGTCATAAACCTAGGAGTCATTCTCAAAATTCCTTCTTCACTTTCCACATATGCATGGACCCTTTATGATCTGAGTCGTCAGAGTTATGCCATTCTAACATGAAAATAAGGAGCCCTGGTGGCACAACGGTTAAGCACTTGGCTGCTGCTAAAAAGGTTGGTGGTATAAATCTACCCAGCGGCTCTGCGGGAGAAAAGCCTGGCAATCTGCTTCTGTAAAGACTGCAGCCAAGAAAACCCTATGGGGTAATTCCACTCTGTCACATGGGATAGCTATGAGTCAGAATCAACTTGATGGCATCCAACAACAACAACAACACGAAGATATTATTAAGGAAATAACCATTTATAAAATTAAACCCACTGCCAATTCCAACTCACAGCGACCCTACAGGACACAGTAGAACTGTCCCACAGGGTTTCCAAGGAACGGATGGTGGATTTGAACTGCCAAGCTTTTGGTTAGCAGCCAAGCTCTTAACCACTGTGCCACCAGAGCTCCCTTATAAAATTAGGCCCCTCTTAAATATCCTTTCCTCTTAAGAGTAGCTTCTATCTTTCAGTCAAAGCCTTTGGCGAGGGTCCTCCTAATTGCCGGATATTGTGAACATCTGAGCGTAGAGTACAAAACAATGAAGCTATGACAAGTCTATCATTTACCTTCATGCTCCCTTTGGCCAAGGCTACATATCCCAGAAGAATTTATTCCTGTTTGAGAGTCAGGGTCCAGGATTTCAACTACCCAGCCTCATATTCTGCTTTCCCTATGGCCACTCCATCGTGATTTATGCTCCAGCATTACTTAACAACTTGCAGTTCCAAGAACACCTACTGCTGATCACACCACCAACCCTCAAATATACCATTTCCCTTGCCAAACACACTGTTCCATTGCCAAAATGCTATTTGCTACTGGTGATCCTCTAACAACCATCAAAACTTACCTCCTTCATCCACCTTTCCTGACCCACTCCAGATGCAATCCCTGAGGCCTCTCATTTTGGCATATTTCTATTTGAATTCTCAGCAGCTAGCTTGTGCTAGACACATGGTCAATCATCCAGAAATGTTATTTGAATTTATGCATACTGTGACTGACACAATTAGGTAGTAAATTTCTGGGCTTCATCTCTCCATTCTCCTCTGTCTGCCTACATACACACACACACGCACACACACACACACCCCAAATCAGAGGCATCTGAGAACAGGTCACATCAATAAAGAACCTATTTAAATCGGGGGGACTTCCTAAATTTTGTGATTTAATATGCAAGAAATTTTCCCAAGATACCCTCACATTAAGTAGAAAAGCAGGAACTGAATAAACAATGAGGGCATTCTTCATTTACAGACAGCCTTTGAATCTTTCAGGGTATCTGCCAATATAAACAAATTCAAGATAAGCACCATTATTTAGTAATCAACAACAGTGTACTTGGCTCTGTGAAAAGCACAATTGCAGGCATTATGGCTTACACGTTCGTCTAATTCAGGAGCAGTTAACCCATGTAACACACCCTAGGCAGTTTCTAGCAGGGCTGTCTTTAAAAGACTCCCCCCCTACCCCCGGGTTTCTAGAATACTGAAAGTTGACTCAACAGCTGCCATACTGTGATAATGGGACATACTAGATCCCAGTATCTATACACAGAGGTGGTGAATCCACAGACATAGTGAGTTTCCATGGACAGCAGCCTATGGTCCATTCTGTTAGTGAAACAACTCCAAGGCCCAAGGAAAGGCTCAAGTAACCTAAGCAGGCGAGGTTTGAGAGCCTTGCAAGGGGAAAAATCAGAAATAGTAAAGATTAAGTTTGTTATCAATTGAACTATGTGTACACAGATGAGAATTTTTTAAAACTTAATAAGGAAGACTCAAATACTCCTGATGTTAGGCATTATCTTTAAATTCTAATTCACTTTATATTCCTTAATCGAAATGGTGACATGGAACACTTAGTTTACTTTGCAATGAGCATCTAAGTTGGTAACTTGTGGTTCAAAAAATCCTGAAATCTGTTTAACATTTTGGAGTAAGGACAGCAATCTTATTAATTGGACTGCTACCTAATTTCTTTACTAGTGATAACTTACTCTTTGTGTAACAGATATGTAGAGGCAGAGTGCTAAAAAAAAAAAAATCTTTCAAAGCTTAACATTTTATGTAATTAATTTTCAATTCTTTTTTTTTATGAAGAGAGACTCCCAATAGCAAAATTACAAATGCCACATAATTAAGGTTTCAACATTTTTAATACTGGTGTTCTAGAGTTAAATATTGCTTTTAAAGAGTTAAAAGTTTTTCTCTACAAATCAGAGCCAGCAAAGTCACATTTGTGAAGCTGGCCAAAGAGATGTTAGAAAACACAAGAGTAGTGGAGGAGGAGAGGAAGTAAGAAGGGTACATTTTCCTAGTAGTACTCAACCAGGTAAAAGAGCCTTGGTGGCGCAGTGGTTAAGTGCTTGACTGCTAACAGAAAGGTCGGTGGTTTGAACTACCAGCCGCTCCGCAGGAAAAAGATGTGGCAGTCTGTTTCCGTAAAGATTTACAGCCTTGGAAACCCTATGGGGCAGTTGCACTCTGTCCTACAGGGTCGCTATGAGTCTAAATCGACTGGACGGCAATGGAAATGGGTAACTCAGCTAGGCAGCAATTGCTTTTCACTTAAATCAAGAGACAGGTATGATAAAAAGTGCTCCCACCCTACCAACAGCAATTTCGATATGAAACAAGGAATATATAACATGTATCAAGCAGGAAAGATAAAAACACATGACCACTTCTAGTCACAAGGCCAGGCTGGTCAGAATGACTAAGTGGCCTGTCAAGTAACTGTTAACAAACTGGTCACTGTGAACAAAGTGAGACTTTAGAATAGTGGGAAGGGAGAATGTGACACCTAGAGGGCCTTACGCAATATGTAGATCTTAGCTATAAAGCTGAAGGTGAGACCACTGAGGGAGGGTCTTCAGGACTCTCCTTAAGCATGAAATGGCCAACAGAAAATTGTTTCTCTGAGAGGAAGTATAGAGAACAGCAGGTGTGTGAAGTGGAGCTCAGCATATGATGATAATGTCGCGTACAGATGCTGAAAGGGCAAAGGAGCACTACGCCACAGTAACACTGATAGGGAATTCATCTGCAGTTTGGAGTCACAGCCTATACAGCAATCTACTAACGGAATCCATGAAAGGGAAATGCATAAAACAAGTTAGGAAAAGGAAAGGGGAGGATATAATCAAATAGTATCTGCCCCTGCTTTTGTTAAGGAGCAGTATAGGAAATTTTAAATTGCTGGGAAAATCAAAATACATATGTATCACCAGCTCTGGCCTCAGAAAACAAGCAACTTTTTTTTTTTTAAAAGGAGATCTTTGGTCTAATTTTCTGCTTAGAGTCACATTGATATCACTTATTTCCTGCATCACAGGCTGTGCAGATATTAAAAAGGTGATTTACTCAATTTATCTTATGCTGAAGTCATGATACCCCTACTTACCTTTTAAGAAATCCTAATCTTAATGTAGGATTTACCAGCACAAAAATTGAATAAAATTACAAGTGCATTTAAAGTCACTGCTGTTTATTTTAGTGCTATTATATACAAGATTAACAATATGAAGTTCCTTACATTTTAGAAGCAAATAAGGGGGTAAGAATATGTATTCAGCTATAAGAAGCTCTAAACTTCTATTTAAATAAATACATACATATGCATATGTGGGATATAGCTGACTTTCTGGAATGTAAGAATAATTTGACAATGACTAAAAACACCAGAATCTAGATGTCTAAAACTACCCACTTTCCCCAATCTGAACACCTTATAAAATTACTCTCAGAACCAGTCATATCTGAGACACGTATTATACTATTACATTAAGCAAGAATGAATGCATATATAGCCTACTCTAAAAAGGCAGGACAAAAGAAAGGAAAATCAAAGGCAGCACTGGAAAACTCTTTCCTGGCAGCCTAGTCAAAAAGATTGTGATTCAGTTAACTGAACAGATAGATTACTGTTTCTACAATTCCTGTCTACAGACCCACAAGATGAGGGTGAGGAAGACCAGAGGATGGGAGGTTACCAGCATATTCTTGGGGATCCACAAGCTTTCTGTACGAATTTTCAACTTCCATTAAAAAAAAAAAAAACACAAAACCTGTTGCCATCTAGTCGATTCGGACTCTTAGCGACCCTGTAGGACACAGTAAACTGTCCCACAGGGTTTCCAAGGAGTGGCTGGTGAATTTGAACTGCTGACCTTTTGTTTAGCAGCCAAGCTCTTAACCACTGCGCCATGAGGGCTCCTTAAACTTCTATAATGATTAAGAAATAATTTAGGAAATTC